ATGTTTCCACTCACTCAGAAGTTTTAACTTTAATGTAATTTGCAAGATATTCCTCAAATTCTTTATTGGCTTGCCTTATTATACTTTTACATTTGACTTGCCAGAATTTGTGCATTTTCCTGTTTTGCACATTTGGACACATTCTGTTTTTTGAATGATGCCTTTTGTCTTCATCAGACTCCTTAACTGTGCTATTAAACCATTGTGGGTTTCTGGACTGCCCAATACCCTTTTTTGATTTGCAGTATACACATTTCCTGAGTCTCTAATTTGGTATTTTTAAACAGCTCCCAGGTTGCTTTTAAGCATTTTAGCTTCTTGACTGCTCTTTTTATCTTCTTTTTAACTTCCTTATTATTGTAGAATTTCCCTTTCTAAAGTTTATATTGGTATGGTGGTTTGTTTTGGCTTACTTCCTTCTGCTACAGTGTTGAATCTGATTATATTATGATCACCATTACAGAGGGGAGAGAGGCAGTTAGCTGTGTTAGTCTGAATTCAGGAGAAAAGCAAAGGATAGTAGCACCATAGACCATTTGTACATGCCACAAAATTGGCCTTTAAAGCGGCTTAATTCCCTGTTGCACCACTTTAATGGTGCAGCTGTTTGCATGTGTTGGTGGCATAATATGCATTAAAAGACCTTGGGACATAGCAAAATAAAACATCTCTGAGGTGGTTTAGTCTGCCGCAAAGGAAAGCACTGGAGGACCACATGCATCTCAGGCACTGTGTATGCAGGCTCCACTAAAGGGAAAAAAATAGCAGTGAGCCTGATCTTTTATTTTTTTCCTCTCCCTGGAGCCTGCCTGCCTGAGCTGTGGGGGCCCAGTGCTTCCCTCTGCAGCTGTGGTGCCCTCTGGGAGCACTCGGGCTGAGTGCTTGCAACCCCCCCCTCCCGCTCAGGGACTGCTCGGCCCACTGACAGCTCACCCTCCCCTCCCCACTGCCAGAGAGGCAGGTAAGGATCAGGCCTGACCCTTGAGCACATACCACAGGAACTTACTTTGCCCTAAATGGAAGCAGTGTTTTTAAAGACCCACCACTTCAATTTCGGGAGAATTAAACCGAAGTGAACCCCCGTGGTGTGTACAAATGCCCTTAGAGACTAACTTGCAGAGGCGCATATGCTTTGCTAAATGACAGCCTACTTCTTCAGTCCATTCATAGCATCTAATGAAGTAGGCTGTTGCCTATAAAAACTTATGCCTCTGAGCCAGATTTAGTCTCTAAGGTGCTACCCCTACTTTGCGTATTACCAGGGATCTATGTTTTCTGTTTCCTGTGGAAAAACATGGATTTTCCCCTTTAAAGGAGAAAATACAGATTTTCATTCGGCTAAGCATTTGCCAAATTCACTCCACACAAGCTTCCTTTTTTTTTTCTTGTCTTCCTAATCAGAAAAATGGCCAGTTATAAGCTTTGCAGCATAACATTAACATTACCCAGGACATCCAGGCCATTTCACAGAGGAAAAAAATCAGTGGCTCTCTTTTGTGGAGAAGGAAAATATTTGAGTAATAATTCAAGATCTGCTGGTTAAGATATTGTACTTTCCTACTTCAGCAAGTTTAATTTTAATTTATGCAGACTAAAAAAGTTTTTACACACTCCCATAAATATTTGATGCACAGTAAAAACACTGTCATCAAATACACAGAGGAAGGTTTCTCTCAACTAAGAGAGAAAGGGAATATGTCAAAGATATGAAGTTGATATGCACAGAGAGGTCTGTTGTATTCCGTAAGTGAATAATTATTTATACTGATGACTTAAAAATACAGTTTTGGAGAAGCTGAAATTATTTACAAGTTTGCATAGAAATTGGCAAATGGTTTCAACCAAAACAAAAATGATTTCAGAAATGTCAAAATGGTTTATTTTGATATGTCCAAAGTGAAGTATTTTTTTTATGCTACATTCAGCAGTGTACTTACCTGTCAATCAGAAAATGACCCTCTGTGATCCAATGAATATTTCACTATTTATACAAAGTATAGCAGCTTCAACAGAAGTTTGGGAGAAATTTGCCTCAGAATATTGTTATGCAGTAGTAATGCAATCTTCTGGCAGGTGTCAGAACCAAGTTTAAATCCCTGCTTTGAGTAAGCCGCAGCAAACTTGAATCTGGGTTGCTCATATCTCAAGTCAAATGCTCTAATTGCTGGGCAGTAGGGCATATAAGTGTTATGTCACCCCTAAGTTTTTTAACAGCATCTAAGATGCTTTACATACCTTGTCCATGGGTTTTCAGACTTTTTTTTAATTTTACAAAAGCCCCATAACCAAACATTATGATTAGTTTGACTCTAGATAAATATATTTGCTCCCAAATATTTTTTTTGGATTGACCCCAAATATACATTTTCAATTTGGCCACTAGACCAAAAAAATGATTATTTACACAGTCCCAATGGTTTTCCCCATGTAATAATTATGTTTTGAACAAAATCTGAGATAGAATCAAGGGTAAACTTCTAAAAAATGCTAAAGTCACTGGACAGTTATTTGTTCTTGGAAATATTTTTCAATCAAGTCAATTATGTTGGTGGATAGAGAGTTGAGGCCTTGGGTCATTTATCTACAACATTAATTCAGAATAATAAGATTGCCTGTTCTTCTGTGCAGAAGAAATTAGATCTGAAATAATGACATGGTATCCTTGAAATTCTGTTTTACTGTTACAGGTCGACCACAAGTAAACTGTCTGCTCCCTCTGGTCAGAAAGGGCTATGACAATGGGCTTCCTAAAGTGAAATGGAGGAAGCATTTCTCAAATAGATACCTTTTTTCCAGGTTTTTAGGGGTAGATTTATGAAAGGGCCCTGAGCCCTGTGGACCAACAGATTATGAGGTCTTGCTAGTAGAGACTGCCACATTACAAAAATGCTGGTAGGGAAATACTTCCATCTCTATGGCTACCTCTTCCTAATCTAATCCATCTCATTCTATCGCAAGTAAAAAATTAAAGCTCTCCTTCTAAGCTCTTGTTTTCCTTTCTGTAACAATGCCTCTAGAGAGGAAGTCTACAGGAACTAAATGCTAGACTTCTGGACCTAACACCATGTGCAAATCCATTGGTTTAGACACAGCAGCAAGCTCAAAACTGTAGGCCCAGTCTCTACCAGAGAACAAAGCAAAGCCACTCTTAGCATAGCTTTTTACAAAAAAAACTCCCCTAGAATTAAAAATATTTAGCGTGCATAGGACATTTAAGTGTGTTTGTATTTCTAGCAACAGAAACCTTTAGGTTAACAGTCAGAGTACATTAGGTTAATAGTTTTTAATTTCCAATTTAACTTTTGGTTTGGTCATAGATTATCAATCATCGGTTTTGCTTTAGATGATCGAGGCCTTTCCTATCTGGATTTTACGGTCTGCAAAATGCCTTGCAACCTTTGCATTTATGCAAAATATGGTAAAGGTAGATTTTAAATTGTCGACCTAATCTTAAACCAGAACTTTTATGAGAGAGAAATCTGTCCCATTATGGTTAAGAAACTGAATTAGGGGAATGGGTAGAAGAATAAGTATCCAAGTCTCATGAAGAAAGGAAGCAATATTTTTTTAACTCCCATTCTTACCCTGACTATAGAGGTTCTATGAAACATTCCTTATACCTTTCAATGACTTTGTCTTTAGCAAACTTTAAACCTAATCAAGCAAATCTGTAGGAAAATACTTACTGAAAAAATCAGATGAGACTGAAGGTAAACAAAACTCCAGCCAACCTGAAATGATTTTAAGAGGCCCTTTTGAGTAAACTGGACCAGACAAGGGGTTTCTAAAAGTGACATTCAGGAAGAGAGCTCTAATCTTTAAAAGAATATTATTAATCTGCGAGGGAGCTACTTAATTCCAGTTGCCTGTGGAATGTGACTTTGATGGAATGTGTCAAATTGAACTCTTCTGTTTCCTCTAGTCCCTCTACAGCTTTTATGGGAACGCTGTTGTAAAACTGGATGCCCTCCTAGTAGACTGTGCCTTCTCTCCATACTACAGCTTATGGACCCTTCAGATAGACAGACTACTATAATTTAGTTCTCATGTAACCAAATTTTCTTTTTAAAGGTCCTACAATGAAATTAAAACGAGATGCTGTGCTTGAAAAGTACAAAGAAGAAATAAGTGCATTTTACAAAGGATAACATCATCTTACCTTTAAGGAAAATTCACTTTTGGAAAAGACCTACATGACATTTAGTTTTGCACCTTGTATAACTGCCTTTCCAAGACAGCAAGCTTATAGATTTTTTAGAATTCTGCTTGTTACTGGTAATTCCTTCTTTCTTCATAGTTAGTCACAATCCACTATCCTTCATACCATTTTAATTTGGTCTTAAATGAGTAAACTTAATTACATGCTAATTTGTTACAGAATATGAAAATAACTGCTTATTATCTGGATACAGTTCATTTATGTCAGCTGGATAGAAGCATAAGGAAGAGTAAATTAGTATTTTTTAAGATTCTGCAACAGGTTAATTGATTATAGTTCAAAAGTCGTTTGGTAAACATGGCTGGTCACATGGTACTCTTTTGTGAAACTGCTACATGACTTTAGTTCAATATACATTAAACCCTAAAGAATTAACAGTTCAGTGGTTTTGTCCTGTTTTTAAGGAAGGGCATGTTTGTACCAAAAGAAATGCTACAAATCATGCAATGCTTGTGACAAGTCTTATGTTACAAACCTGAGGTGCAAGACTTGCTCTAATTTCCACATAAATGTAGCATTATGTTATGTGATGGTTGCAGTTTGTAAGCAAAAAGGTGGCTGAAGAGTCTGATTTTGATATCTGGTTGTTAGTTGAAGATGGGAACAAATGAAGCAAGCACGTTTGCCCCTTATACATTACAAGTAAGTATTTTGCAGCAACATGCGTTCAACATTCACAGACTGCATCCTGTATGTGCAAGTCGTGGTACAAGTATCAGTCATCTATTCAAACCATTACACAAATCAACAGCCCAGGCTTATAAAAACCCAACAAAAGTTCTGACCTTGGGAAGTCTTTATTTTTTCTATTTTGTGCGTTGTAATAATGCAGAAGTTGCTTAGCTCATATTGTCAAATGAAACAAGGAGACAGCAGCAAACAAAATATGCACATTCAAAAATCAAGCTAATGCTCTGTTCCAGACTTCCACCATGTCTCTACATCCGGGAGAAGGACGTGACTGTGTCACCAGAAACTGCACCCAAAAAAAAAAAAATCCCCATCACTGTTACAGAATGACAAAATTATGAGCAGCTGGGATGCTTATTTTGCAAGTGATACTAAATGACTTTGCATGGGTTGATTTTGGTTTCCAAAGTTTGAGACTGTGTAAAAATAAGAGCAGACAATAGGATGGGACCTATAAACAGATTAAGACTGATTACGGACAGTTCTGTCACTGCTAACAGGCTTTGGATAAAATTCTAGGGTTTTCATCTGTAAAATGTATGTTTCCTTGAATATTGTACTGATAGAGCTATTCAAAGATCTTCAAGTATCATATATATTTGTGTTAGGAACATGGTTGAAGTTAGAAGGAGACTTAACTTTGTGCTTCCTGGTAGCTCTAGTATGCAAATTCATGGAAACCTCAGATACCCCTGGATAGGGCATGAGAATATATTGATTTCTGGAATCTAAGCAACATAGCCAAAACTAGGGGTCATCTGCTAGTGTCAGGCTCTGTAGCAATCGCATATTATGTAGTCTGTTACATTCAGAATTTTGAAACAAAGATGATTAAGCTAGTACATGTGAATACACTAAACAGACAATACATAAAAACAAAGTAGAATACAAAATGTTTCTGCTACAGTCATGGAGTTTAAATATTTTGTATAAATCTGCAGAAACTTAATACTTTCCCCCTCACAGTACATAGCAAAAGTAAAAGATTTTGTGATTTTGTATCACCTACATTTCATTAGGAATACGCTGTTGTAAACTAATAAAGACAAACTTACAAGAATGTTTGGATACATACATGTATGAAAGATACTTTTGTCTTACTAACATCATTATTCTTCATCCCCATCTAGGTTATGCCTTGATTTTTTTCACAAAAATATTATATTTTAAGTTAAACATTTCTAAAGCTTTAATATTTATTCATGCATTTGGAGAACAACTTGTATTTTTGGACTGCAATGTAGCACCTAAAAATGTTTCCTCCTCAAGATTTATAATGGAACATTTTTAGTGGTTTATTTCCTACCTATTTTTTGCAAATAGAGTCATCTTGTGCTATTTTAAGGCTGAAAAGCCATTGTTTAACTCTAATAGGAAAAAATAAAATAGGTTTTATATTTTTAAAGGTGCTTTTATAATCCAGTAATTCAGTTATCTTGATATTTACAACAAGCTTTTCTGGAAAGTAAAAACAATTTAGTTGAAACATAAAATGGTAACAGTTACAAATGACACACTAAAGAAATCCATTTATACAAAAAAAATTCACCAGTTAGAAACAAGTAATAAATAAAACAAAGCAGTTTGAAAAAAATCCACTGAAAGCAGGCATAAGAATAATTTGTAACCATTTGGGGTAAATTTATTAATGAAGAGGCCTCCCCATCTAAAAAGTCTGCTTTCAGGAGAGAGGCAAACCAAATGCATGTGAACAGCAGATTTAAATATAAAATTTTTGTGATGTGTCCATCAGGAGCAATTACAATTTTAGCCCATGTCTCGTACTCGGCGGCAAATCTCCTCTGTGAATTCTGAACATTTAGCATTACCTCCCAAATCTTTGGTCAGTACCTAAGGAGAGAAAAACAGTTATTAGGAAAAAAAAATTAACCTATTACAGCCTTTGAACAAAGCCTGGATTCTGTGTAGTGTATTCCAGATTCTTGCTTAGGTGTACATGGCCAAAACTGTTTCAAGCCCTCTGATCTCCTAACAGGCTACTAAAACAGCTCCAACTTTTAAAAGCCCCAATAAAAAGTTATATCTTGCTGTTGCAATCTTTGCCGACAAAATATCACATGTTCAAGCTGAGTATGAAGGTGAATAATGCTAACAAAGTTTAATTCAGTAAGGATTTTTTTTTAAATAACTACACAGCAACAGCATGAAGATGGATGTTGAAACTGGGCACATTTGATTTTTGTTGCGGAACAAGATGGTTTAGTTTGAAAAGGAAAGATTTTAAAAGTTAAATAATGGAAAAAGCTGTTCAACAAGTGTTGCTCATATCTGCTTAAATGTTCAGCCCTGTCTCACTTGTGATGGCACAGCATGGAAACAGCATAGTCTTACCATATTGGATGGGCAAAGGCATTCTGGACAGTAATTTGTGTAAGGAATACAACTGTTCTCTTACATAGGTCTGTAGCTAAGATAAAATTGCTCTGTGGGCTGTAGGTTTCTGATCCATATTCACAGGTATGAGATTCAGCGGCAGAAAGATCTGTGCTTTGTATATCATACATTCATTATCTGAGGTTACCTAAAACCTTGGCCCCTATGGGCATGTCCAGACAAGTGCACAGGTGCAGTTTGCAGTGCCTCAAAACTGTCTGAGGTGGCACAAACTGCATGTACTGCAAGTGCAACCATTCATCCCCCGCAAATTTGCACCGTGGCACCAAAATTTGATACCAGAACTGGTATCCAAAAAACCCAAACCCAACAACATGGGATGAAGCATGCTCCAGGAGTGTGCACCAGAGTAACTGAAGGCTGGGTCCTCCAGAGACATGCTTTGGCTTCTGGTTATAGCATCTTCACTGCTTTAGGTGTCCCCCAGCTGCTTCAGCCTGTCAGGAGTTGGGAGGAACAGGGAAACAATAGTTTCCCCAAAGCAGAGCATTTGGGGGGGGCAGTGGAGTTCACAGGGTCTGCAGAAGAGGGTTTGGGGGGCTCTCTCCCCCACCCTCTGGGACCATGGGCAATTTTTAGACCCCCTGACCCACCCACAAACAACACCCCCGCAGTAACACCCCCCCCCCGCCGAGTAAACCTACCCCCCAACCCGACTTACTTCCTCAGCTCCTAGCATTGGCAAACACTGATAAAACTGGCATCAATAGCAGCTGGCAGGATTTGGTGGGCTGGGGGGTGTGGAGCAGGGGGCTAGCTGGTCTGGGCAGGGGTTGTGTGCACTAAAAATATCCCTGTGCCAAGGAGGGGGTAGGAAAAGCAAAGCCCTGGGACTGGTGCCAGCAGTTGGTGTTTCTAGCCCTGAACCTGCACTGTGCAGAAGTTTGGGACAGTTAGATGAGTCTAGAAATGGCCAACCCAGTCTAAGTTAGACTACCTCAGAGGTAGGGTTAGCTTAGGTGAAGTCTGTATAGTTTGCACTTAGATGGACCTAACTAGGGATCCAAGTGTAAGGTCTGTACTTGGCCAAACTAAGTTAGATCACGTGGCCATTTTGAATGCAATCTAACCTCCCACTATGTCTGTATGCAGCCCTAAATGCTCTAAAGTGCTTCCCAGACTTTGCTATTTGGCTTTGGTAGTCTGTATTAATTATTGAGGATATAGGAAGAGTAATTTTAAGTCATTACATTTTTCTGCAAATCCTTGCAATACCTTTCCATCTTTAATCGTATCAAAACATGCAGCCTCAATTTTAGCGGCATATTCCTGCAGTCCCATATGACGCAGCATCATTACAGCACTCAGAAGAAGGGCAGTTGGATTTGCCAAGTCTTTTCCTGCAATATCTGGTGCAGTTCCATGAACCTAAAAATCAAAATGAAATTATCTTCATCATAACAAACATCAGCAACATTTATTATTTGTTTTGTCATCTGAAGTATTTTAACAATTGAAAAATTAATCTGATTTTGAATAGTTTAGACATCATTTGAATTTAGTTCTTTTCAATAAAGTATTTCAATAAATCAGTCAACTAAGTCACAGTATTTTAAGAGCACAGGGAAGTTTTCAAAGGCATAAAGAAAAGGGAGCTAATCTGGTGCCAAACTCCAAATATAAGTCAGTGGTTATGGGATGCCTAACTCCACTTTCAAAGTCTTCTCAAGTTTCAGAGGACACCTATATCATAAAGAGCCTCCATCTGTCACCCCCCCCCCCCCCCCACACACACACACACACTTCCCTGGTTCCCCTTGCCCCCAGGCGCCTCGGGCAGCCCTGCTGGGCCGGGAAGACCCCACCCGGAGACCCGCTGCAGGCTCAACAAGAATTATGGCCAACAAGAATTAAGATCGGTTCCAAAATGAAAATTTAAGATGCCAGTAAAAATACACACATTTGAAATCCTTACATTACGATGAATACAATTTCTTTGATTATTTACTTAGATTACTTTACATGTCATAATTTTAAGCATACCACAGAATATTGCAATAAAGCTTTGTTAGGAACATGTTTGGATAACAGCTACCAGATATAACGTAACATAGATTTAAGTTTCTGAGACAGAGCAAAGTTAGTTACAAAATTTTATCCCACAGGAAAGATCTTACCGACTCAAAGATTGCAACTCCGTTTGCACCAATGTTCCCACTTGGTGTTACTCCAAGACCTCCAATCAATCCGGCACATAAGTCACTGGAAGAAAAATTATTTTGTATAAACTAAAGGTACAACCTGTTGTCGACAAAGCATACAGAGAATACTATAATCACTTGTTTTATGTTAGCGATAACAAAGAAGGTTTAAAATCACCTGCCACACAGCAAACTGTTAACACTGTGGGGAAAAGGGCATACATTATTTACACTATGGCTGCACACTTGAAGATGAGTAGAGCTACTAGAGCAGCAACGACAATTTAATGAGGAAAATGACAGGGAAACTTCAAATTTCAGGATAGAGCTTACGAAAAATGACAGAGCAAATAAAAGGATGACAACAGCAGCGTTGAATGCGAGGTACAAAATGCTACATGCTTTCATAAAATAGAAGAAATTTTGAACAGGTAAGGACAATAAATATGGTATCCTAAGCCCTTGATACTCTTATAGTTCTCTGGTTTTGAGATCTGTTATGCAATTATTTGGAAGTCTTTAAAATTGTAATCCACCATTTTCTCTCTGGAAATCTCAGAAATCTATGATAAATATGAGATACCCATAAAGAGACCAGAACTTTACTCACAGAATAAAGCTCAATTCTTGAGCTTTTTCACTTTTTTGTAACAAAACTTGACAGGAACACTTATTAAAGTGATGCAAAACTGTTTTTATTTCTTTCATTCTTAAAATGCCTATAAGTTCAAATGAAAATTAAAATGAAAGCTACACAAAAGTCTGACCCTCAGCAAGGTTTCCTCCAAGATCAATATAAATGAGGAGAAATTCACTAATTGTCATCATGTTTCCCACTTCCAATATAACATATCATTAGATGAGCCCCTTAAAATGTTGGCATTCAAAACCCACTTATACTCTAATGCCTATAACAAACTAGCCAACCAATAACTGCAAGGTAGGAGGTAAGATGGGAATAGCCTATACAGTATTTTTTAAGTTTAAAATAAAGATTTTAAACAGAAAAAATAGCACTTAGGGTGAGGGAATTCTCCCTGTACCTTTTCAGAATGTAGAACATCTTAGATGCTAGCTAAGGGACTTTAAAAATTCATAGGGGCAAAAAAACTGTGTTTAGGGTGACAGGATAACTTATCTTTATGAAGATAATCTTCCTCCAACCCAAGTAAAAATTCAGAGTTTCATAAGGAATTGTAAGAAGGTAAGTACTAATAGGATGTCAGCTAAAAGGCAGAACAGCTATCAGGCACCACTTTCAATAATAACTATATGGAATACAGATAGTTATTAAAGGAAATAAAATTAGTTTGAGTTCTATTTTGTTACTTCCAAAATATTACTTATATATAAAAAGACACATTCACTCTATTTAACATGTTTAATGATTGCAACAGAGTTTTAACTCTTCATGCTGCATTTTGTATATGACAGTAGTGTATTTTGTAATAAGCCCATCTATTTTCCAAAGTTTTTGCAATGGAAGCACACACACTGAGAAACTGTGAAGTCTGTGACTCATGAGAGTTTTCCCTACTTCATGGTTTTGGGGTGACTCATAAAATTATTCATTTGTACCAATTTCACATACAGAAAAGTAGGAAAAAAAATTACTGTCACAGTGACTCCCACAATGATTGTAATTTTTGGATAATAAAAGAGAAGCAAGACAAATTATATACATAAACACACATTAAGGATTCCAGATCACGGACACTGATTTTGACTGAAATTATTCTTTGTTGAAGTACTTATAGCAAACTGGTCTCACCATTGACTTTGCATGTCAAATTAATCTGTTGATGGAGGAGTGCCCGAAGTGCCCTTGTTTTTCAAACATGAAGCTGTACCCAACGAAAAAAGACATCCAAAGGTATCTCAGCAAGTCTTTGTACAGCTATTTGTTTTGCACACCACCCTGTTTATACGTATTATTTACAATATTCAGACTGTATGGACATACACAGTCCCTTTGGGTGCCATGAAACAGCCTCATCTTACTGCTTCCTTACACCCTAATTACAGTTTCTTCCTAAATCCAGGTTTTTTTCTATCATGCTACTTTCAGATACTTGATATATTTTAACCCTCCAGGTGGTGAAGACAGACATTCATCTACCTAACAGTTAGTCAGAAAAGTAATCTGAGAAGTAATGGTATTGTAATATGATAAAATCCAGCTCACTTACCTAAGGATGTCACCATACAGATTTGGCATAACAAGCACATCAAAGTGTGATGGATCCTGTACCATCTAGGAGGAAATATGATTTTGTTAAGATCATGTACTGTAACTAGATAATAAATATCAGATTACAATGGATAAATACTCACATTAAGACACACAGTATCCAGGTACATTTCATTAAATTTAATATCTTTACAGTTTTCTGCAGCCTCCCTGCATTTTCTCAGAAAAAGTCCATCAGACATTCTCCTGCAATTAGACAAGTAGAAGACCGTTAAAAAGTATGGATGGCCTAGTCCATTTTTTAAAAACAGTTACATAAAGATAACTATATGGGCACCTGTTGAAATAGGAATCTGGTCCTAAATGCACAACTTAATGGCTGGTCTAAAAATTACTCTAAATGCACAACTTAATGGCTGGGCTAAAAATTACTATTAACATTTCTAATCTTGTTACATTATTATTTTACACAAAAAATAAAGAACAGTGCCTCTTCATCCTGATCTGACAGTTTAGGAAAAAAAAAAAAAAATCAGTAAATTTACTTTACTTCTCAGAAAATAACAACACAATAAGAAAAAGATTGCCAAAATTCTCAAGTGTGACCTTCAAATGGCAACTCAAGATTTAATACCACCTGGTCAAGAACAAATACAGAAGGATGACAAAGTAAACCAGAAACTGGAAATGGAAAAAACCACCAAGTAGTGCAGAATTATTCCCTGGACTGAGTTTTACAGGCTTTCCGTTTTAAATGTCTCAAATATCAGGGTTTCAAACACCTTCCTTTGGAGAATATTCCCTCATCTAACTGCTTGGATTTAAATAAGGTCACTTTTTGGATAAAGTTATATTATGCAATTTTTTTTAGTTTGAACACATTAAAATTAATCTCTGGTTTGCACAATCCATTTAAGAAAATAAAAGATAAATACTTGTTTAATGAAAACTTTTTGGCTAGGCAGAAGACAGGTAAAGGAATTTCATGTAATTACATTGGTGTTGGGCTAAGTTTGGAATCTTACTGTAGATACTAAAATCTGCATGAAAGTTCCTAAGTGCAAGCTTCTTGTTTTAGTATTTTTATTCTGATATTCTAAATGTTATGTTTAGTTTTGTTATTTCGTTAGGCCAACATACATAATGTTTGCTTTATGCACAGCAGTAACATGGCTTCTCTGATTGTTTCTGGCATACTCAAAAGCAAATTCAGCAATACGTTTGCTTGCTTCTTCTGTGATGAGTTTGATACTCTGTACAACACCTTCAACAATCTGAAAAATAGATAACAGTCAAATCACAAGCAAAACTTAAGTGATTTATAAAGAAGTTGATAAGAGTGCAGATTTGGAATCCTTAATATCAGGAAGCACTACTTCACTGTCAGGGTGGCTAGGATCTGGAACCAACTTCCAAGAGAAGTGGTGCTGTCTCCTACCCTGGGGGTCTTTAAAAGGAGGCTAGATGAACACCTTGCTAGAGTCGTTTGACCCTAGTACTCTTTCCTGCCATGGCAGGGAGTCCCTAGATGATCTGCTCAGGTTCCTTCCGACCTTACCAACTATGACACTATCACAGAATTCCAAGAGGCTAATATCTGCAGAATGCTATACACCAGACAGTTCATGTTAAAAGAAATTATGTATCGCATGTCATTTTTAAAAATAGTACCCAGTTCTGACAGACCAGGTTATGATTCACAGAAGAATAAACATAGAAACCCTTCTAAAAACAGAGCTACTTCCCAACAACATACCACATGTTCAATTCCGCTGTATTCGCCTTCTGTGTTCTCTCGAATTGTGACTATATTTACATCTGCATAAGGGGTTTTGTACCCTTCAATTGAGACACAAGGACGAACATTTGCATATAGGTCAAAGGTTTTACGTAGCAACAAATTCATTGAAGGGTGTCCAGCAGCTATTGGAGTTTTTAAAGGTCCTGTGAGAGACAATAGGAATGAGCAAGATAGAAAGAATTAATCCACAATTATATCCAAACAGCCAAAGTTATTTTTGGCATTGTCATATAGGAGATCCAAATTCCCTTATTAAGCTCCTGTGCTCAACCGCGCTGAAAAGCTAACAGAAATCTTTGAACGATTAAGGATATTACCCAGTGAGGTTACTCTGTTGTTTAAAAGCCAAAATTGTGAACCTCTCTGAGTAGCACCTAAGACCAGAAGCACTCTATAAGCTATCCTAACAAGCTTAAGGTGCTACTCAGTTAGAATTAGTATTATACAAATAGCATGGGAAATTATCTGTGATTTTACATGAGTGGGGTCCAAAAATGTATTGAATGTCAGGGTATTGTCTTATTAATAACACTCCTAAGTGAACCCATGAAAAGTACCATGTTAAAGACTGACAGCACATGGAATTTATCTTAATTTCAGCATCCAAAATTATAACCTGTCCTGCTATATTCATTCCTTGCAATACAAATTTAGTTTTATCATTTAGTATAGCCATAAACCTACATAGGGAAGTTTACAGGGTGTCCAACTCTGGTTAGTGATATTCAAATACTCAAATGAGAAGTCACACTAAAAATTTACATGAACTACTTCAAAAGTCTCAAGAGACTACTGTAGCTTCTTCTGTGTCCTAGAGTTCACCATTCCATCATACCACAAATGGAGTAATTGGATTTTTACATCCCATGCACAGTACAAGCAACAACATTAATATCTTAGTATTAACCAACAAAGTACCTTTCAGACCCATCTTGTTTTTATCCATGGATTCTCTGGCATCTGGAGGAATCATCCACTTTCCTCCTGGTCCTTGGATTGCTGTAACATTTCTCTCTTCCCATTGAATAGGAGCCTAAAACATATTTGTTCTACATTAAACTTCTGTACTAAGAATGTTATTTCCAATTTTCGCTCCACAGAAGTGCAGAAGGGATTGCTTCCAAAGCACACTATGCATGGGAAATATCAGCCCCAAAAAGTGAAAAATGTATAAAAAAAAAAAAAAAGAACAGTATACACATTAACATTTCTCTCTTCCCATTGAATAGGAGCCTAAAACATATTTGTTCTACATTAAACTTCTGTACTAAGAATGTTATTTCCAATTTTCGCTCCACAGAAGTGCAGAAGGGATTGCTTCCAAAGCACACTATGCATGGGAAATATCAGCCCCAAAAAGTGAAAAATGTATAAAAAAAAAAAAAAAGTACAGTATACACATGTGAAACAGTTTTAAGTAATGTCCCAATATAACCTTAAATTCTGAAGACACTACAAGATGTTCACTGTAATACTTATCTATATTATTTGCACTCCTTGTACATATTATTTACTTTCAGCTCAAGTTTGTTTCTATCAAGGAGGTCTACATCGTGTGATATTTCCAGGAAATACAAGACATGTTAAAAATGGATTAATTTAGAATAAATCATCAAAAACTCCTGACAGAGGAACAGACAGGCCTGCATTCTGTGTATACATGGAAATCTGAGAGTCAGCTCCATCTATCAGTGCAATCTGATATGCATTCACCGAGGGAATCTCCTACTTAAACGTAAGGCTACCACCACCTGCTCATTTCATGAGGATGAAGCTTCAGGAGAAGCACACAACTCAGCTTTCACAGACTAACAAAATTAACATGCAGGGAATACTATAGTTTCAGCCCTGTTCATTTTTCTTACTTTGCCCCCAGTGGTTGAGCTACCTGTAAGATATTTAATGTGGGCATATATCCATATGAAGATTAGGTCTTTCAAAGCTTCACTCTTCCCTCTCCTATATTTATTGCGTGATTAACCAGTTAACTGTGAAATATATGTAAAATGTAACACGGGCCTAAATGAAAGTAAAAAAACCCTTATCTTCTTTGTACTATCAGTGGGAAAACAAAAGCTTCTCCCTACTCCCCCCAAAAAAGGTTTGTTTTGATCTCGCACCCTTACAACTTGTGCCAAATTTTGACTACGCTCTCATTATATGTTCAGAAATGTTAGTTTGGCATGTTACAAAGGTGAATAGGTTTGATGTAATCCTCAATACATTTCACTTATATTGGAGGAAAAAAAGCATTATTTTAATATGTTTATTTGTATCCACAAATCAAACTGGACAGTACACATCTCTTGGTTATTAGATATTTATTCAACCATTACGATTATTTCCAATGAAACAGTCTGGTTATTTAATAAAATATCCAATTAAATTAAATTAAATACAAAATATTCTTCTGACAGAGTTGTAGGTCCTCATTTCACATTGCAATCCCAATTTCTTGTATGTGTTATACCAGAAGCTTCAAGGTTTTGTTGCTAAAAAGAACTAGCCTGGAAATCTGGGAATTAAGTGCAACATTTCAAATGGAACTCCCACTATCTTAATTTAAACAGGAGTTACAAATACATCTTTCACACAGTTTTGAAAGCTGAAGGAAGAGTGATTATTTAGCATACATCAGCAGGTTTTAATGCTCTTAAAGTTATAAGAAACATGACAAGGCAAAGGAGTTGCTTACTTTAGCAGCATCAAATATCTTCATCACAGCAGCAGAAATCTCTGGTCCTATGCCATCTCCTGGGATTAAAGTTACTGTCTGTACCTAGACAAAAACGTCAGTAGTACAACGAATGAACTGCATATTCAGCCTAGAGAACACTGCAATGCATCTTACCAAAAAAACACAGTACTTGCTACAACAGAGAAGATAGTCAACCATAAGTCGCTTTAAAAAATGATAGCTTCATGCTAGAGGAGTGTGAGCAGCGGGTCTGTCAAGGCCACAGACAGATGTACTATTTGAAGCACTCCAAGAAATGGCAGAAGCACTTCTTCAAACATATGCACTCTCCAGTAGAATGTAAGAGGGAACTACTTGGTCGTCAGCATCCCATGGTACTGTTTTATTCCCCCTGTGCTCGGCTGTCCCTGGGAAGCTCTGGAAACTGGAGGCCTGCAGGGATTCCTGCTCTCGTCACTGCACGCTTTCGCAAGAGGCTGTATATCTACACCATGGTGAAGCATACTGTATTGGAGTGGGATTTGGAGTGCTTCAAATGCATATCTGCCCATACTCTGTGGTATTCCACAAGAACTACCCTACAATCTGCCTGCTGCAATTTGTCTGAAACACACAGCAGGCTTCCTGCTCCTCCTCTCCACAATACTGTTGCCATTTATTTTTCCCTCTAGCTTTACTCAACATTATCTAGTTATACCTCTTGTCCCTAGAACTTCCCCACATGCTAATCCACTGCTGGACAAACTTTTGATGTTTATTTCCCAGCTATGTTTATTTTTAACTTTATGAAGTCAAATATATTTACTTTAAAAACCTGCAGAAACATTTCTTTACAGACCTTCTCTTTCTTAGAATCTCTGACCTATTAGCAGCAAAGGTATTTTCCCCTCATCAGTTCACTCAGCCTTTTGCTCCTGTTATTATCCCTCAGGCAAAGAATGTGGACTGTGCAGTTTAGACTCATCAGGTAACCAGGGAAGCAAACCTTGTTGAAAATTATAATCATCACCATTTTAATTCTAGGTGTATTTACTATTAAGTTTACTGAAGGCAGCCCTAGGAACACCACTGCTTGAAAATACCCTAATTATACTAAACTGTAAAACATAAAAGGTTACAATTGCTTACACTCAGCATTTGTGTTATCAGAAATTCTTTTGAATAAAATAGAGTCAAGGGGTTAAATTATACATAACAAAATGAAGATGTAGAAAAAGGAAGGTAGAACTGGTTCTTTACAGGACTGTTAAATACAAAATTTGTTTGAATACTTTCAAGATAAAGTGCCAGAGGACATGGTTAATTTGTTTGCTAAGCGGCTATAATTATCTATTTTCTTTCACCCTCTATTAATAAAACTGGCACAGCAATGAATAAGTAGGGAATAGTCAAGAAGAATACAAAAGCTGGCTTTCAATGTGATATGTCAATTTGGTATTTAATTTGAGGTGCAATACCCAGTGACTTCCAATAACATAAGCCAAAAACTTGCTCTCTCTCCCTTCCCCACCCCTAAGTTTTCTAACTGAGAGCACAGCACTATAGCATTACAATTAAAAGCTAGAGTTCATCATGAAATTCAGAGTATGCATAAAAATAGGGGGCTTTGCAATGATTAATGCATTGGTCTGAACAGTTTTTAAGACCCACTTTATATGAGGCATTGAGAACCTGTTTGTAGGCATTTTATACTACCACCCACAAAGAAGGTAAGAAATTCAAATGAGATCACTTCACCTAAGTTTGGGAAAAAAATTGTTACATAGTGCAGCACTAAAGAGGGGCTTGAAAAAGGCAGACCTCTATAAGCTGGATATTCTAAAAGCAGCGGCTTTTAAAATAAATCAGTTGCTAAAAGGAAAGTTTGCAAAATAAAAAATGAACATAATGAGAAGCTTCTCAACCTTCTTTTGATTTATGAATTTCTCATGTCAAAGGGCTGATTTCTAAGCTATAATTGTCAGTTATATCCAAATTAGGTGCAAGTTTTCCATGCAGTTTCTGTAATTGTTTTTGTCAAGAGATGCTTAAAACATGAACTTGTCAGAAGAAATCTCTTTTGAATGTGTAACTGCCAAAGGATATAGGTGTAAAAAGCAATCAACAGAAATCTACCACAGTATTTACAACATATGGTCATTGTATTCAGAGTTTATCCTTAATTTGTGGCAAGGAAATACAGCAATCTTGTCAGTTATTGTGTACCTTTCTTAAGAAACTTCTCAAGAGGTTAAAAAATGGTACTATTATACTCACAGCACTACCAAAACCTCTGGTCACCTGTTTTTGGTTTTTGAAAGCACCTAGCAACCAAGAAACCTGTAGAAAAGTAAACAAAAGAAATATTTAACATGCTGTAAAACACTGACAGTAACATGACAGTAACAGAAGATAGTAATTCCACCACTGTCACAAGCACCATAAACTGGATGTAGAAGTTAAATGTTTCACAAAATGAGAGAAAACCTTGACTTTTCCATTAAATATTTGTAAATAATAAATTGAGATGAAAATATTTGTTTTATATTAAGGAAAAATGTGTTGGGGCAAAGAATCCATGAAGATCATCCAGATCATAGATAATAGAATATACCTAGGGGCTCATCTACACAGGAACATTAGTGAACAGCATGCTAGAACATTGGCTACCCAAAAGAGCAAAATTGGAGTCAATGAGTAGTGTACATGAAATGCAAGGTACTTTTCTTTCAAAGTCAAATAAGCTACATTCCCAAAGGCTTCTTGAGTAGTCACTATGACCACTCATAGGAAGAGTTAATGTATAGTAGAGCTGGTGTGCTATAAATTCACATCTGATCTGGCTGCACGCTAACTTCTCTGTGTACTATACTAAGTACTATACTCCCAACATGACAATGCAGTAACTTTAGTTACAAAGATTATGATTAATTAAACTGAGATGTCACCTCAAGTAGAGAGCTGATACAAGTTACACTGCAACTGAAGAAAGCAGACTTTATGGCAAGCAGAACAAGTCATGGAGCTTGTAAAGACCTACATAATTTCATAAGTAGCAACCTTGAAGGCTCACTTTTATTCCCTAGATAGATTTTTTTAAGTGTAGTCCACATTAGCCTAAATGTGTTTTCATTGAAGTATATGGGAACTTTCCACTGATTTCTACAAAAGAAATTCAAGATGAACACTTAAGAAAATCTTGCCCTTAGTCCTTTTCAGTATTTCCATGCTTTGTTTTTTAAGTTCATACATGGTGCATGCCTGTTTGTTTAAAATATATTAAACAAAAACAGTTTACAAGAAATCAGCAAATACTGATGAAGTCTGCAGAAACTCAGGTGCCTTTTTCTCAGGTCTCTGAGCTTGTCTAAAAGGTCTCCCACTTACAGAGCTGGCTGGTTCAATAAAAGATATCACAAAAAATGTTTGCCTATCAGAAACTCAGAAACAGAGCTGGCCTAGGGAATGAACAGAACAAATTTTCAGGTTATCCTTGTGTCTGTGATGAAAGCATTCTGTTATCAATAAAGAAAGGCTTCTAATTTTTAAAGTAGAATAAAGGTAAAATGGGCAGGAATGGAGACAGACACATGGCAGTGGTTTTGCTGGGGCTAATGACACTTCTAAAAATATTTAAGGCAGTATTACAGGTTAATGCTTTTGCAAACTGCTGTTGTGCATTTCAGGAAACAAATGAAGCTGTAAACGTTTACATACCAACACTAAAGATCCTTACATGGGATAAAAGTCACAATCAAAAGCAATCTGGCCTCATAATTAGGGTTTTCCAACATCAAGATGTGAAACAATAGGGGCAACCTTCAACCTAAGGTCATTTCAATCTATGATCTTATGTTACATAGCATCAGGAGCCATACCCCAACTCTTGTAACCATAGAGGACTGCTATCAAACGATCTTGCCATACTCTCAATGATTTCTTAATTTTTACTTGCCCTGTCAAACTGCTATCATGGCACATACACTATGTAATAACTTTGACCAGATTTTCCTATATATGAATATGGCATAATTCAAGTAGAGAAATATTAATTACAATTCTGTTTTATATGTGGTGACACTTCTAATGTCAGAGTTGATGCAATGGCGCGCACATAGAATTTGATTATAACCCACTCCACCATATATAGTAAGAAGTAGTAGACGGGCAGACTAATGCATCAGCTGATACTGATGCAAGTACTACTTGGAAGGACTGCAAAAAACACAATACCTTTCAGCTGGATGGGAATGTATGTGACTACCTTAATCTCCTGCCATAGGTTTCTGACACCTATGCTGAGCTGGCATTAAGAATACAGCTTCAAGGCAAGGAAGACAGACTGTAGGCTGAAGGAAAGATGATTGGAAATGCTGTTGCTCTTGTTGATGATAATACTGTAATGAATGCTATGGGGAAAAAAAGTACAGCTAGAGTCCATTCTGACCTCTAACAGAACATGAAGTATACAGATCACAGTAGTGGGCGAGTAAAGAGTATCTCAACACATCTATACACTGAAGAGACAGAAGCTGGCACAATACACAGAGAAGGGGAACTTTTAGTTAGAAAAGCACACAGGGCCCTTGAGGCCTACCTCCCACGTATGGTATCAAAGGCTCAGGTTTCAAATTCTACAGTAACCACAGAGACGTAACGAATACAAAAAGCAAAGTGGCATACTGGAAGTTATGGGCTTGATGAAGGAAAGGTGTAGTGAAATTCTATAACCTGAGTTATTCAGGTCAGAGTGGATGATCAAAACCGGTGCTTTCTGACCTTAAAATTATTCACTAGACAATTAAAATTAATTCAGAGATGCGGTTTTGCTCCAAGCGCATAAAACACAATAGAAGACTGGAAAAGAGATTGAATGCATCAATGTCTGGGCTATGCTAGGCCGAGCAGAAGTCAGTAAATGTTTGTTTTGCAGGAATCTTGATACATGATCTTTCTGAGCAGCAAGTGGATGCTCCTGCATACAGACACGGCAGCATTCAAACAGACCCAGCAGGTCTAGAGGGATCCTGTTAATGGGTGACCGTGGCTGTAAAAATACCTCCAGAATAAGTACCAGTCTTGAAAACCAAGTGTCTGGGGTCCCAAGGCTGAAGAAAGAAAAAGAGGCAAGTATCTACATGTGTGTTTTTCCCCACTCTTGCTCCCTCCTCCAGAAGTGATATGAGTTCTTTGCAACAGCGGCCACCTTGCCCAAAGCCTGTTTTTAAACACACAAAGGCTATTAAACAAGAGCCCCAGGGAGCAATTTCCCAGCAGACGGAGACAAGGTGACAAGTGACTGTGCCCACGACCACTGAGCTACTGAGCCTCAGGAACAGAGGCTCCACGTGGTGACCTCTGCGTCTACTACTGAAGTGTAAGGCCTGGCAGAGCAGGGGCTGCTTGAGGAGCCAGCTTTCTGGAGGGCACTGAGATGCGGTGCCCACAAGACACAATGGGGACAGCTCGAGCGACAGGCAGCATCTTTGGGCGCTTCAGTGCCCGGCTCCAGGGGCCCCGCAGGCCTCGGTCTCCGTTGACAGGAGCCGGGCCGCAGAGCCCCCACCGGGCAGGGCCCAGCTC